GGTATGAATAATTTTGGACATGCCTTTTTGTTCAAATGTAAATAAAAGCTGAGAAATAAAATCTGCTTTTATTTATAAATAAGTCTCCCAAAATGTTAGACCAATTAAAGATAATGCATCAAGGACAGTGCCCATTGTAGTAAAGATGGAAACATGAGGTTGTTGTATGTGTGAGTGTTGTATGTTGGATATATTAGGCATTTTTTAAGTAACATTATAACATTATTAATCACAAAGTGCCAGGTGTCTATCTAGGACAGTAGGTAGTTATAGGCTTAGATCATTAATGATTCAGGAATACTTACCAAACCTATGTACTTGCTCAGAGTCATCTCAGAGAGTGGAAATCTGGGTCACTGTAACATTTCTATGTTTGTGTGAGTTATAACAGAGACTGTACTCACGTTGGCAGCCCTGGGGGTTTTCAGCACTCAGGCCAAAGAATCCGGTCTTACATTTGTCGCAGCGCGGCCCCTTGACATTGGCTTTGCAACGACACTGACCTCCCACCATGCCGAGGGAAGGGTCGGTGTGGCTGTCGCACATCCCTCCATTCTGGGAACCATCTGGGTCGCAGTCACACGCTATGGGACACACGGGTGCCAGACAAATCTTAATGCATGAAGGTAAGGTACGGTAAACTGAAGGGACGCATATCTACACTTAGTTCAGTTTGTGTGGTTTTGCATGTTGTGAGTTGATAGTACAGTTTGTTGGAATGTGATTTTAAATGTGGTGTGTGAATGTACCCCAAGAAGAATAACCTCTGTTGTGATTAAGCTAATGGGGATCCTAATAAAAAATAAAGAAATAAAATGCACATTTATAACAGAAAAATAAAGCAGGCACTCACCAAATTTCCTCACACAACCATACACATTATTGTATACACAGCGATTGCTGCCAGCAGTATGCAGCTTATACATATATATTTTTTCTTAGAAAATGCCTAGACTAGTTTTTCAGACACACACTCACCTATGCAAACACGTTGGTCCCTGATATCTTTAATAGGGTCTTTGTAGTAGAAAGGTTTGCACATCTCACAGTTGCGTCCCATGGTGTTGTGCTGACAGTCATCACACACTCCTCCGCTGACATTTCCAGTGGCCAAATACACCGCCATGTCAAAGTGACACAGGGTCGAGTGGCTATTGCAGTTACACTCTAGAAAGAAAAACCTTCAAAAGTCAATGATTTTTCATTTTCACCATTATCCACAGACTGTAGATCTGTAAAAAACCCAAACTGTTCGTCAGTGAAAACCATTAGCCTTCTGACAAATAATAGATTAAAAAGTGTCAGTTCATGCGATCTCTTTTTTATTAATTTGCAAATAAATCTGTGATGTTTTTGCACTGCACTTAATGTCCCTTTTGCTTCCTTCCTCCTCTGTACTCACTCTTGCAGGCGTTGCTGTTGCGTCCCTCGGCTGGTCTCCACGGCAGGTCGTTGTAGAAGTCATCACATTGCTCACAGTTTAAACCCTTGGTGTTATGGTTACACACACACCTGCCATGGACCTTAAAAAGAGATGGGAGGAGAGGTTAAGGCAATCTATATGAGATGAAGAACCAAAAGCTTTAAAATTATGAGAGTAAATTACAGGAGAGAAACTAGGGGAAAAACTGCTAATTAAAAGTCTGCACTGTAACTGAAGCCTCATCACTCACCATTCCTTCTATATCATCCCTTATGCCATTGATGGGGGCGCACTCCGAGGCGTGGCCATAGCAAAAGCAGTTTCCACGTACGACAAGTTCATATATGGCGTAGTAGTACTTTTCTTTGATTTCAGCTCTTGGGTCCAGCAAGTTGTCTCCCAGAGTGTGAAGCTTGGTGAAGTTTACTCTCAAGTTGGTAATCTTTAGCTGGTCTGTTGGGGAGAGGACATGAAGAGAATTAGTTGGAAAGGAATAGAAGGCAGATATGTAGTCAGAGTAAGGCTTCCTTTCAAGTGGACACTCAAGTTTAGTTTAAGTGTTACATGAAGGCTGGTACTGTGAGGATAGATGGTATGTCAAGGAAACAAGTGAGAAAAAAGATGGAGAACAGCAGCTAAAAAACGGGTTAAAAGTACAAGCAAATACACACACACACAGCACAAAAGCCCTATTTCCCTAGCAAGAGGAAATCAAGGCCAGTGGAGCATGACAGAACTGAGTGTGTGGCACAGCATTATGAGTGAACAACAATACAGCAGATTCTGATGGGTATGTCATTAGTTTTGCAAGTATTTGGTCATAAACCAAAGTACTGGAAAATGTTAACACGCTGGTGGTGCTTGATCAAAGGTAAGGAGATCACCAAGAGTTAGGAGGCATCCTTAAGGCATCATATCTGTACCAATATTTTAATAGTCTGGACCAAAGTAGTGGCCCAACCAGACCAACCAACCATCATTGCCACCGCTATTAAAACATGGCCAGCATGGCTAGTAAAAACTGAAAACCTGCAACCTTGTAAGGAAATGTATAATCCACGCACAAACTTCTCTGTCTATGTCTTTATCTAAATGTAAGAACAATTTGGATTTTGTCAGCCAACTCATATTGGCAGCATAGCAATAGTTCAGACAGAGCATTGAAGTAGCGCTGGCATCAGCTGTTTCATTCATGCTTCACAATCACTGGCTCATTCACCAGCTATCAGTTGATTTGTCACGTCCACTGATATTGATGCCAGTGCGCAGTGCAGCCATTATTCATTACTGCTTTGCTGATACTGTCATCCCAGCAGTGTTTGCAGCTGCAGCTCCGCCCACCACCCCAACCGCCTCCTTATGTGCCTGCTTTTTTGTATTGGTATTTACTAAAGGTAATCTTTGTGAATGTGTTTGTTTAAGGGTGATTATCTCTCCAGAAGAATCCTTGTGGCTGCTCGAATTCTTTGAGATCTCCCTGAAAAAAACACAGAACCTTCTCCACTGAATCTTACTGTATAACCATTTGCTATAAATAGTCAGTTCCTTTAAGTAGATATCTCTGACTGAACTGGACAGCCTCTCTATATATCCAGCAAGACACCACCCAAATGTCATTTATGAGTTTCAAGTATCAAGTATTTCCAGAAGGGGGTAAATCTAAAAATGATGGACAATAACGGAATGTGGTGGTGAAATGGTTCCTCCCACATTCTGCCTCTTTATCCTCTTAAACTGTTTGGTGAAAATTCCTAATAAGTAGAAAGATAACGCCTTTCCAGAGAGATTTGTCTGTCTTTTCAATCCTGTCCAGTCTGCGAATAAACGCGGGTCAGAAAATCCC